ATACGCTCCTTACTTTGAAAATATTTTTGACAAAATTGTTCAACCATTTCATCCCAAGAGCATATAAAGCCAAAAAGCAAAGTAGTATACCAAGTGTAAGCTCTATTAGAGAGGGATTTAGACAACTCATGTAGGCACAAGTCTTTATCATCGGCATGAACCCCTATGGCATCAAGAAATTTGTTGACATGCTCCACGACGCTACCCTTCCTTCCACTATATTATGAAAATGTAGGACTTTCATATTGCTTTAGATAGGGCTTGGACAAAATTTCCTTTAGGTATGATGGATCACAGACAACTAAAAAGTGGTTGGATTTTGCCTGGAACGTTCCCTATCCAAGAGAGCAGTGAGATCCACCATGGTGACAAAACCTTGAGTGGAATCGGTTACATTGGGTAAAGCCCCATTGGTGCTCATAGTTGTAATTACTATCAGTGCTGAGTTATTTGGCTGCGCAGCAGAGCCCCCATTACCATCAGTGGATCAAGCTAGACCTCTTGTAGTTGAGACGTTCCAGCTATGTTAACTGATTGTGTTGGATCCTACACAGTATGTTGAGCTTGCAAGTTGACGAGAGGTTGAGTAGTTCTTTGTTGATCCTTATGCAAGACCCGAATAACTTGGATCAGAGATGCAAGATTAAGATCAGTGATTCCTTGCAAGAGATCATTGAAAATATGTGTTGATGGACATTGCTTCTAATCTTTCCATCCATCATCTTAGCTAGGCTCATGATTTCTATCAGTGATGTGAGATAACGTTGCTCTCGTAATAGGCATGGTAAGAAAAATTTTACTATAAATGAATGAATATTGCTGAGGAAGGATATTGAAGATGTTATATCGCTAAAAAATAGTAAAATAAGACAAAGTTCTAGGATGACCTCCCCAGTGGAGTCACCATTTTTGTTGGGGGTGCAGGTGACATGGGTTGATGAGTTAACAATAGAGGTGATGTGGAAGCTGTCTTGGATGCCACCCGCAAGAAATGAAGGTCATTTTGGTTGGCACCTGTTTGACATGTAAAAGGCTACATGCCACGAGCCGTCTCACTTTGTCCAACAATGATGGTTAGCCACGAGTTCCTCAACAAAGTTTAAAAGTGTAAGTTTTCTAGCCACACCAAGAGAGCTAGGCAACGATGACGAAGTTTCAAGAACCGAGAATGATTATGCAACTACCAAAAATAATGAAAATGAGGTGTACATTGTGGTAGAAGTAGCAAGGATAGAAAATATATAAGGATTAAAAATTACAACTTGAGAAGCACATTTATACATAGTATATTTTAGTATAATAGTAAAAACAATGAATGTGTCCTCTACTATCCTTGACAAATACTTCTACTCTATAATGAGTAACCCTTATATTATAGGTGAAAAGCACAATGATTCTCGTCAAGCTTTCTCAAGAACAAAAGGAATAAACTTGAAAGTAATGATAGGAAAAGGAAGGATGATTGTCGTGGGAGCTTGTAAATAGAAGGTTTGATCTCGTTACTGATGCTAATCTTTCAACTTGATCCTCTGATGCTCAAGAAAATAACCTAGAAACTGAAATTGAAGTATGCTATCTTTCAGCTATGATGTTTTGTAAGTCTGAAAAGTATTCTATAGTGTTGGAAGTGCAAAAAATATAATAAAAATGGTGATTTCTAGGTATTTTTTATGTATATGAGGAGAGGTTGAGGATGAAGGATTTTTCAAAGGAAAAATAGAGGTTTGGTGCATGAAGAAGAAAATTGGATCTGTGTAATCTGTTGGAAATTTATTAAAAAAATGAAGAAAAAATAATATATATGCAGTGGCATTTTTGTAATTTTTAACTTGATGGGCCAAGGTAACCCAACACCCTAACGGTTATATTTGGGTTTGGGGAAGACAGTGAGTGGTTCTAGGTACTACTAATAGCTTTTTTAAAAAGTGATATCATGAATTATTTATTGGTTCCAATGAAAGACTATTGGTTCCAATGAAGGACCGTTGGTTCAACTGAAGTATCGCTAGTTCCAACAAAATATTGGTGTTTCAATGAAAGATTGCTAGTCTATTGAAGACTGCTCGTTTTTGATAATTCTTCCAATCATACAAAATACCAATTTTGAGGGGGTATTTAAGTACAATCGGTAAAAATCAAATCTACTCGGGATTTTGGTAGATTTTCCAAGAAAAATATAATCATTTTCAACAGTTTTCAATGCAATGGAACTTGTGCAACCACCCTTTTTAATAGTTTTCAATACAATGAAATTTGTGCAACCACCTTTCCATTAAATACAATTGCAAGTTGTTGATGGAGACTCAAACAACATCTCTGGTTGGTTTTCAACAAGATTTCAAGTCTTCTAATTAGCATCAAATGGTACAATTTTGGGATCAATCTTTACCTCTATGTCGTCGCCACCTAGCTCTTTCTGGTGAAGTTGGGCAACATCGCTAACTCCAAGCTTGGTTGCACAAATACCTCACCTTGCCAAACAGGCAATGTTCATCCTTCCATGCCTGCGAGGCATGGCAAAAATCAGCCTGACCAATGAACCCAACCTAAACCCAACCCGTAAAAACAAGTTAGGGTCAACACATTTCAACCCGTGACCCATTGGTCATCCGTAAGCTTGACCCGAACAGGTCATGGGTCATAGACAAGTTAACCCACAAGTTAACAAGTTGACCCATTTAATTCTGTTTAAAAAACAAAATTATTTTTAAATTTACTAACCTTATTTATTGCTAATAATAATAGTAACAATTCTTATTTATTACTACTAATAAAAATTATTCATTTATTAACCAATTAACCCTATTTATTCCTAATTATGCTAGGCCATCATTCCAAATTCACACCTCCCTATTCGATCTCCACCTCATCAACTCATCGATTCACCTCCCTCCTTAATCTTAATTTGCAAAACTCTCTCATCTTCATTTTCCATTGGTTTAGTAAAAAATTCCTAGTTCTAATTTCTACTCCACCACACCAGACTTTGCATCTTCCCTTTTCAATCCTTCATATCCCTCACTTATCTCAATCACTTCACCAACCACTTGTTTTAATGCTTTTTCTCCCTTTAGACATTCATCCACCTCTCTTGTTCACTCAAGTCAAATCCTTTTGTGTTTGAGGTATGGGTCTTTCAGATCTATATATATAT